TAGATAAAATAGTAACTTAGGCTAGTCGCTGACTGGAAATTTTCAGTTGCACAATAGTTTAATTGCATGRGTGACTTCCACAGTGATATATGAMAATCAGCTCACATGCAATACTAATCAGTTTGACTAACTAATTAGTTTGTGTTTTGCCACAAATTGTTTGATTGCGTGATTACTATCGTGCAACTGAAAATTGCCACTAGCGACTAGCCTTATAGTGAACTATAAAATTGTAATTTTTCTACCTGTAATTTTAACAAAGTACATATTTTATATTATTATTACTTTAAAATGCCGGAATGTGAAGTATTTGGATGTAAATATAATACTATAAAAAAAAAAATAGTAGAGGTAAAAATGTATTTACAAATAACAGAATTAGACTTCATAGATTTCCTAAGGACGATTTACACATACAACAATTATGGGTTAACTTCTGTGATAAAAAAAAAGAAATAAATATAAAAAAACGGTAAGAATAATAAAATATAATTAATAATATTCAATTTTAATTTTACATAAATATAATTATAATACAATAAAAAAAAACACACAGCCCACATGTGTTCTATCCACTTTGAAAAAGATTGTTTTGAAAAGCCACTCATACAGAAAATGTTAAACTACTYTCCAATACAAGTGAGAAAATTGAAGAAAAATGTTATACCAACTATTAGGAATAGTGGAAAACACAGCACTCAAGAAAAAGTAGTTTTTGGTTTACAAATTTAATTAAATCAAGTATCCTTGTATGCGATTTTACTTGGTGTAAGAGAAAATGTATCACAGATACAAAAAGATACAAAAATKGACTAATGAAAACATTGCATATTCAATGACTTAAAGGAGTATTTCTCCCAAAGCATATAGGTTTTTAAGGCAGTCTCTAGAGTTTCCATTGCCAGGTTTGTGCACAACAAAATAATATTATAGCAAAATAGTATCCAAAATATATTTTTTAGGCCTATCCACTTTGCGTCRTTGGGCATCAACATTTAATATTGAGAGAGGTATATTGACAGATGTACTAAGTATTTAGAAAAATAAAGGTAATTATTACCAATATTCATTCCATTATACATTTTTGATTATATTGTTCTTTTTAATATATTTTTCAGGATTGGAAATGTCTCCAAAAGAAAGAAGTTATTTCTTTTGACAAAACATAAATATCCAACTAAATCTGTTTTGACAAAAAAATKAGCAAGTTTTAGGTCCATTTAAATCTGTACAAACAGTTATAGCCAGAGGTGCTTAGTACTTAGTACTTAGTCAATAGTATAGAATAATTAATTATATTTTGTATAGAGGATATCCATCTGTAATAACCTGTAACATAAATTATTTATTTGAATGTATTCTTGTAGGTCTTTTTTCAAAATGGAAACAACCTATATTCTATAACTATGACACTCCAATGATAAATTTGTTATTATTGGGAATAATAAATAAATTGCATGATTGTGGATTTGATGTGGTCGCAACAGTTAACGACATGGGTCCGACAAATATTGGATCATGGAAATTATTAGATGTATCAGTTTCACATACATTTTTCAAACATCCTAATACAAACAATAATATTTATGTATTTGCTGATGTACCCCACTTATTAAAACTTGCCAGAAACCATTTTATTGACAATAGATTTGTTCTAAAAGATGAAAATACATAGGTAAAACTAAAACATAAATACAATATTTGTACTTAAGTCTTAAAGTAATTTATACTGATATATTATAAAACAAAGATGCAATTTACTATCATAATTATTATTTGACGATTTATGAATAGGTAAAAGTATAGTTGAAGAATATCTTCTACACAATAAACATGATCTTGGTTATGCACATAAAATCTCGGAGAGACATTTAAATGTAACTGSATTTAAAAGGCAGAATGTTAGACTTGCAACACAATTATTTTCAAATTCTTTAGCCAATGCAATCATGTACTGTGGACAAAAAGAAATTATTAGAAAAAACAATAACATAATATAAGTAGGTAGATAACAATGAACTGTTTTTAGGTATACTTATATCAAATACATCATTAAGTCTCTTACTGCCAGATTTAAAAAATAGATATGATGACATAGAATATATAGTGACCAGACGTCTTAACCGATAAGATGTCCTGGAAAATCTTTTCAGCTTTTTAAAAGGGATGATGTGTTCAGCAATTCAGCATAACAACTAACATTGCTTGAATTTAAATATTGGTCAGTTCAAATATGTACATTAATCTAATCAATAATTTCAAAATATAATTTTTTTTTTTATTTTGTAAATTATTTTAAGATATTACTTAGGTAATTGGTAAACATTCAAAAGCAGTATTTACTGAAAACCACAATGTAGAGGATAGTAATGAAGAATGTTTAGTCCATTGTTTATCAGGTAATATTATTAAAGACGGAACTGCAATTACTTCAGATGATTTACCAGATAGCACTTTTAAGAATGCTGAAGAATTGGCTACATTAGAATCTGGKTTAGATTGTACTCAAATTGAAATTCCTTCAGAAAATATGGATTTACTAAATGATTTTGAATCTAAAGTGCCTACCTAAGTGTTATTTAATAGGTAATATAATTAATAATAAAAAACAAACCTAATAACTTAACTTAGACAATCTTATAATTATTTACCATAATATTTTTCTTAGTGTACACAGAGTAATAGCATTGYCGAGGAAGATTACTTAGAGTATCTGGTTATGTTGCTCATCGTTTGTCAAATGAATTCCCATGGTTGGCAAAAGGTACATGTTSMTCAGCAGATAATGAAAATTCTAAAACTTGGTCAGAACAAATCTCTAAAGGAAATTTAGCAATACCTTYCGATGAGTTGTTCAAATCTACAAAAAGATTGGAAGATCTGTTTAATAAATTTCATGGGAATGGTTTAAGCAAAGAACCAAAAATTATTAAGACAGTCACTGAGATGCTACGTAAAATTGAAAAACAAAGAAAACTAAAAAAATTTGGTGTTTTAAAATAAATAAAAAGATAATAATTTATGGTTTAGTTTAGAGTTTAGAAATATATGATTATCTATTTACTCAAAAATTGCTCATTAATATACAATAGTCAGTTCCTTTACTGCTASGTACCTATATCCTAATTGTACAGCYATTGGATAGTAAACTTCAGCAATAGTCTTCCAATCAGAGGTTTTAACAACTACGRCCCTTACAGAAAATATTTGGTTAGTACTTAGTAAATTTTTAAAAAACATCAATCTAAGACTTGGAATTGTTGATCCATGCAAAATGTTTTCCATTTGGACTGAACAACATRAACTAGTATGTCGATGAAATGTAGAGACTGTATAATAAGGGGATTTGGAGATTCGCTGATACAGGGTAAAATCATGGTTGGAATTTCAAACATATTGTATAATTTCAAAGTTTTACAGTTTACACGAATCCCAAACAACAATTAACAAATGTTTAACTATGTTTAAATAAAAATTAATAATAGCAGATTACTAGATTAGAATGACAASATGTTATTAGATAACAGCCTCATAGGTGATAAAATTTTTGTTGCGCACATGACGTCAGAGTTATGCGTATCAGAGCTGCGTGACATATCTGATTATTTCTATCATGATCCCGATTATTTAGAAAATCATTGTGAATTTTTTAATTTTTGATACCCCAAAGTACCAACTAGATTCACTTTCTGATCGAACGAAGTACTGAAGTCGAAAATCGAAG